TATTTTATCATTACATCAACAATTCACATTTCCACTCTTTTAGAGTGACGAACTCCCGATCGGAAACATAAACCCCAAGGGAAAAAAAATTATATGTATCTTAAATGTGTAGGTACGAAGGTGACTCTACTCATTTTCACCTCGTCTCCACTCGCCTCAAGGAGTCGGGGACCGGGGGACTGAGAGGTCAGAGTTTCTAAATGAGCAGAAAATATCACGCATGAGCAGGAACGAAAGCTGAGTTAGATGAATAGGAGCTGAGCTAGACAAAATTGATTATGCCGGAGGAAACTTACCTTCCTTGTTTTATGTTGGGGGCGCTAGGTGTACTCTTTTTCCCTTTATTAGGATTTTTTCCCACTGGGTTTTTTCCTGGTAAAGGTTTTTAACGAGGCACCTCCCCATCATGGACAAGGATGGTGGTCCCCCGGCCGAAGACGAAGAAATCAAAGACAGAAGAACGGTGCAGATACAGTTTGGACTACTCCCTTTCGCCTCGAGTACTCTCGACTCAGGGAGTGGGGGACTCCTGATAGAGTATATAGACTCGGACCCCCAGGTCTCACGACTATTGGGCCCGGACAGCGGCCCACACACGTCTTACGGATATCATTTGTATTATTGTACTTTTAATATATCATTTGTATGTACTAGATTAGTCTTTTATGTAGTTGGGCTACCGGGCCCATATTAGCGGCCCGGCCCGTTATTCCTCTATTTATACTCCTTTTGGAGCTTGTAAACCCTAGATCTCAATTCATTATCATTCTATTATTCATCTTCTCCACAATACTTGATCTCAAATCTCTACATTTTATACATAATTGGATCCCTACAATCCATCATTCACCATTTTATGTCAGAGTCAAAATTCACATGAGCTATAATAGCTGCAATTCAATATTCCATTTGATTTTCTTCTTGTCTCACTTTAACTTTTAATTGCTCAATTTTCATCTTCTGCTCATTGTCAATCTCTCTATTTTCTGTTTCACACCGTTATTCATTTATTAAGTTTCTGGAATTCTACTCCTTAATTTAATGGACGGATTAAGAGGATGTTCTCGTCTTTGGTACTGTCCACTCGGTGGCTACGGACCATCAGAGAACTATTTTGGCACGGACCACTCGGTGGCTCTGGCCGGGGTTCGTTTGGGTATTGTCCACTCGGTGGCTACGGACCCGTAAACGAACATACTTGGGTACTGTCCACTCGATGGCTACAGACCCGTATAAGAGCGTGCATGTATCAAATATCAAGATTTGGGTGTTGTCCACTCGGTGGCTACGGACCCGAAATCAGTGATCAAATTCTACGGCCGTGTTTTATTTCCTATTGGCATGCCAATCTATCCAAATCCGAAAACATGGTTTCAAATTCCATTTGTTTTTATTCATTTAAATTTAAACATGTATAATTACTATTATGATTATTACCTCCCATTTAAAATGACATCATTATTATCAACCAAAATATCACTATCACGTGATGATATTCCGGATGGAGTTTATGTATACAAACTCTTGTGGTCTCGTATTTACCCATTTCTTTCGTACATAACTTTCTAATTCTAATATAGAGTACTATCTATGTAGCCTTTTTATTGAATTGACTTCATTATAGATCCCACGGTCCCACCTCAATTATTTTAAATTAAAATTCGAATTAACTAAGGGAAATTACCCAAAATAGGAGCAAATGACATTTGGAATTCCAAAAATAGGACTGGTATGTTTTTCTTCTTGAAATAGGAGTTATTACTGTCATATGTATGAAAAATACTGTCATGATTGAAAAATATTGTCATGTTAAATACACTGTAATGCAACTATTTGGCAGTCACAGCTACAAGATGACAGTAAATACTGACATGTTAGTCTCATTTCGGGTATAAAACAAAGTAGTCCTATTTTGGAATTTTAAACTTCATTTACTCCTATTTTGGGAAATCTCTCATTAATTAATGATACGTATATTGGAATTCACTTTACTATATTCTACAATAATTTTGATATGTTTTAAATTTAACTTACCATATCATATATAGTACTCCGTATTAATTTTCCGGATCTACTTAACATTATATCAGTGTTGAATTACTTAACATTATATCAGTGTTGAATTCTACCTTATCACAATAATCATTGAGTTTCACTAATTTATGTTAATGATTATGAATGTTCATCGTTTAACTAGTATAGTTTCAATTTTGTCCTTATATAATATATTAATTACGAATATTATCATCATCAAAGTTATTTTCTTTATTCTATATATACTGGTTTTCAAATCTTGCTCGTTATGCATGAAAGAGTTAGTATTTTTTCTTTTGTGCATGTAGTACTTTTGAAAATCAACTCCGTACTTTTGAAAAAGTAGTATTTTTTCATTTAATTACTTCATAACATAATTTTAAAGTGTATAGAATTGAGGGTGTTACAGAATGCATAGCAGAAATGCATGCTCGTCTGCTCAAGCTTAGAGCAGAAATCTCCTAATCAGGGAAAGGCTTGACTTTTAAGGAAATCAACTTGAAGGTTCTAAGAGGTCTCCGTTCACTCTGGAAGATGAAGGTCACATCTATAAAAGATAGCAAAGACTTCAGAACCTACACAACAAAAAAGCTCAATTCAGACCTCAAATCTTATGAGTTTGAAATGAATGAAGAAAAAGAAGAAGAACCAAAAGAGAGGACAACTGCTGCCTTGACTGCCAGTACCTCTACAGGTTTATTATCTAACGAATAAACTCTTGCGAGCAAATACTTCACTGTTGAGAGCAAATACTTCACTATTTCAATGAGAGTTCAAACGAGAGATTGGAAGATAAATCTTGATATCCTTCATCCAATTCTCAAAGTAAGTTCGTCATAGTTCTTCAACAACTTTGAAACCTTCATCTACACATCTTGTACGAAGAACGTTGGAGAAAACCCTTTGAAATCTTTCAAATCAATCTTCTTGTTAAAGAAGGACGCCAAAGTAACTGGTGTGAAGTGGTGATACTTCAAGGAAGCTCAGTGAAAAGGTTAGTCATCAGGAAGCAAGGAAGTGCATCCCAGATGACAAAGGACTAGATTTGAAGAAGACGTTGAGTGCTTCTAAAGTGCTAGGATCTAAGTGCTGTAACGAGTTTTTACAAGTTTAGTGGAATAGTGGACTAGAGAAACGAGTTATTCCTTGAACCACTATAAAAATCCCTATTGTCGTTTATTTTCTGCCTTTCTTTGTTGCTTATAGGTTCTCTACTGTTCGTCTCTAAAAATGTTTGGACTTTGTGTTCAACCGATCTTGCTCTTAGAGAAAAGAGAAAGACATTTCTACCTTAGTGTGTTTTCGTGAGGAAACCCAAGCAGACTCAATCCGCTGCAGGTATGTTCTTTAAAGAACTAGACCAACTATGTGAGACGGAAGCGCTGTCTCGCAAGAACTCGAAAAATCAAAAGAGTCTATTCACCCGAGACTGTTTCTCTATTTAACCGGGATGAATAGTTTTAACTCCTATTTTGGGCATTTCATACTTTAATTTACTTGAACTTCATCTCATTTTTTAAACTAATCTATATAACATTTTTGAATATTGCTTTATGTTTTACACATTATTTAACTTTGTAGGAAATTTCGTAAATGTTTTGATAAATAGTACACTGTTTTACCCAAAATAATGGTAGATATTGTAATCCTGAAACTATAATAGAATTATTATAGGCTCAGTATTGTACTTTACATTAAACTCTCTCTAATATAAATATATCTGCCAGGGCTCCTCAGTGAGTAACCTTTTCCATTATTTCACATGGTATCAGAGACCTAAATTTTTCCTCTCTCTCTCCCCTAACCCTGTTTCGCTACACGGCTTCCGCAGCCCCTCAGCAAACCGCCGCCGCAGGGCTCTTCTCCTCCTCCATGGAAGTCTCCACAGTGGCTCCAACTTCTTCGACCATGGCGCCGGTCACATCAGCCGCCACCGACGCAGCCGTAGTCATCACCAGCGCCGCCGCTCCTCTGACCGCGCCGCCGCAGGTGACTCCCTCGCCAGCCTCTTCTTCCTTCATCGCTGACATTCCCAGTGCCTACTCAATGTTTCAGACTCTTCATCCGGGAATTCCGTGGCAGCCATCTGCCATGCCAGCGGCCCCAGGCCTCTACACGCCACCCTTCTCGGCTGGATCATCGTTTGCCGGTCCCACTTTTGTTGGCTCACCTGGTGTCTCCTCTGTCATCCCTCCCTCTCGCACACCAGCAGCCATCCCGACTGGCTCACTCCTCACAGATCTCGCCCAGAGTATCTCACATGTGGCAACTAATGTCACAAATATTGTAACTACCAAATTATTAGCGGTGGAAGACTACACTACCTGGCGTACACAGTTTGAATCGTTTTTGGTGTCCCAAGCTCTCCTTGGCATGGTTGATGGCTCCATTCAGGTACCCCCTGCTTATTCCATAGATGCTCTTAACCGTCAAACTCACAATCCCGAATTTTCTACTTGGTTAAGAATTGATCAAACCATCCGTTCATGGTTATTTGCAACCCTATCTAGGGATGTTCTTATCGATGTACGTGATTTAAAACATTCATATGAAATTTGGGAGCGGTTGGAGTCTCGGTTTATGTCTGCTAGTTTAGCGAGATCTATGGAATTAAAGCGTTTATTTAATCAAATTAAAAAGAAACCTGATCAGTCCATGGATAATTATTTGCGAGAAATTAAAACATTAGCTGATGATCTTGCCACAATCAATTGCCCTGTGCCTGAGCGTGAAATTTTAAAAACTACTATTATGGGTCTAGGACCTGAGTATGAATCTTTATACACTGCTGTGTCCTTATTTGGACAAAATTTCCCGTTTGAGACTCTCCGTAATCATCTTCTTGAGTTAGAGCAGCGGGTCCTTTATCTCCGCTCCCAGGAATCCCAGTCCATTCATCAGGCGTTTGGCGCGGTTGTTTCATATCCCAGGCAGTCGTCTGGGCAGCAGCCAACCCAGCAGAATTCAGGATCCACTCACCCGGTCGGGCAGCAGACTTACCCGGTCGGGCAGGCTCGGCAGAACGGCGCTCCACAGCGCGGGCGAGGACGTGGGCGCGGCAGAGGCCGCGGAGGCAGGGGGCGTGGCCGAGGACAGCAGCAGCAGGCATATTGGTTCCCCCAGGGGCATCCAGTTTATTACCCCGGAGGGGGTGGGCAGCCGAGTACTCCTGCAGGGGGTGTGACATCTACGGGTACTGTTATTTGTAATTCTGCTGTGTCACGTTTAAATATTAATGCTTTACCTATCTGTGTTACTAACAGTAGTCATACAGGCTTGCCATCAGACGGAGGTATTCTCGGATCTGTTCCCCATCATGCTGTCTGTCAAATTTGTTTTTCTGCAGGTCATTCTGCCATTAACTGTCCTTCTCGTTTCACACAACCGACGTCTCCTGCTCTGTTGACTACTCCCGGTGACACTACTCCTGCTCTATGGTTTCCTGATTCAGGAGCTTCTGCTCATATGACTGCATCTGAAGGTAATTTAGTTAATAAATCTCCCTACACCGGCTATAATTCTGTTAGTGTTGCCAATGGTGCCCATCTTCCCATATGTAATATTGGTGATGTTGCTTTACCTACATCTGGTCGTCCTCTCACTTTAAAATCCGTTTATCATGTGCCTCAGTTAAAATATAATTTAATTTCCATTAAAAGGCTCTGTGCTGATAATAATTGTACTGTAATTTTTGATAAAAATTCTTTCTTGGTTAAGGACAAAGCAACGGGGGCAATACTTCTGCGAGCTACTAGTAGTGGACCACTTTATCCTCTCCATCTGCCGTCTGCATCACCATTAGTTTTTGCTTCCGTTTTAGCTTCTGGCCCTGTGTGGCACCGTAGATTAGGTCACTATGGTGATAGTACTTTACAGTTTCTTAAGAGAAAACAATTTTTATGTAGTCATACTCCCTTTACTCATGAGTGTGTGGCCTGTCGTTTAGGAAAATCACAACGTTTACCTTTTATGGATGGTAGTCATAATTCTATTTTTCCTTTGGAAATTATTCATTCTGATGTGTGGCAGTCACCTGTGTATTCAAATTTGGGATTCAAGTATTATGTATGTTTCATTGATGATTTTTCTCGTTATACTTCGATATATCCCATGTGTCACAAAAATGAAGTTTTCATGCACTTTAAAAATTTTAAAGCTTTGGTTGAAAATCTTTTTAATCAGAAAATTAAAATTTTTCAAAGTGATGGGGGAGGTGAATTTGTTAATAATAATATGCAGCAATTTTTCTCTGCTAATGACATTTACTTTAGAAAATCTTGTCGTGACACACCTCAACAGAATGGGGTTGCTGAGCGCAAGCATCGTCATTTACTTGAGTTAACTAGGACCATGCTTCTTGAAGCTTCGGTTCCGAGTCACTATTGGGTCGATGCCATATTTACTGCTGCATATATTATTAATAGATTACCCTCTCCTACCTTAAATGGTCTTACTCCGTATCAAAAACTGTTTAACCGAGTTCCAGATTACTCCTTTATGCGAGTATTTGGTTCTGCCTGTTATCCAAATTTTAATGCCACCTCAGCCAATAAATTATCACCTCGTTCAGTTCAGTGTGTTTTCCTTGGCTATGCATCCGGTTATAAAGGCTATCGTTGTTTGGATCCTTTCACAGGCCGAGTCTATGTTAGCCGTCATGTTAGGTTTCATGAGGACACGTATCCTTTTAAAACTCTCTCGTCTGCTCCATCCAGGTCTATTTCTACTACACCATCTCCTATGCATCTCACCGATATCACTCTTGACCCACCTCTCCAGCCTGTTCCCACAATTACGGCCGCACCAGCACCAACCCCATCATCGCCACCTCGGTCACCAAGTATTCCTATCACTCCGTGTGTACCGTCACCCCATTCCTCCTATCCCACGTCCACAACCAGCCCCCCACCATCCCATCTCTCCTCCCATACTTCGTCTAGCACGCCACAGACAACATCAACCGACACTGTCTCACCTGAAACCACCTCACCTACGTCCACTACGGTAGTTAATCACCATCCCATGCAAACCCGTGCTAAGTCAGGAATTTTTAAGCCTAAAACCATTTTTAATTTAAGTACAGTTACAATCAATGCAGATCCTACCTGTTTTACTGAGGCAAATAAACAATTAAAATGGCGTGAGGCGATGGCTGATGAATTTAATGCACTCATTAATAATAATACGTGGGACTTGGTGCCCTTTGATAACTCTAAAAATATTGTTGATTGTAAGTGGATTTATAAAACTAAATATCATTCTGATGGATCCTTAGAGCGCCATAAAGCTCGATTAGTTGCACAGGGTTTTAATCAGCAGGCAGGTATTGATTTCTCTGAAACTTTTAGTCCTGTCGTTAAACCCACCACTGTTCGTATTGTACTTACTCTAGCTATTTCTTTTGGGTGGGGTATACGACAACTTGATGTTAAAAATGCCTTCTTACATGGGAATCTGACAGAAGAAGTTTATATGCGGCAGCCCCGTGGTTTTATTCACCCTCACTTTCCTAATCATATATGTCGTCTGCGCAAGGCCATTTATGGCCTTAAGCAAGCTCCACGAGCCTGGTTTCATAGATTTAGTAGCTTTCTTCTACAACATAATTTTTCCTGTAGCAAATCCGACAATTCTTTGTTCATATACCGCCAGAATAATACTATTATTTATTTATTACTATATGTGGATGATATTATTATTACTGGCAATTCTGAATTCTCTGTTACCCAATTTATTTCAATTATATCTAAACATTTTGCTATGAAAGACTTGGGTAATCTCCATTATTTTCTGGGTGTTGAGGCCATTCGTTCAGCTAAAGGTTTGTTTCTTTCTCAACATAAATATGTTACTGACCTTCTAGCTCGTTTTCACCTTCATACTGTCAAACCTGTTCGCACCCCGTTAGCTTCCCGTACCACTCTGTCTCTTTCTGATGGTGAGTTATTATCTGATTCTACTGAGTATCGCAGCATGGTTGGTGCATTACAATATTTAACTTTGACACGGCCAGATATTACTTATGCAGTACACTTAGTGTCTCAGTTCATGCATGCTCCTCGTACCACTCATCTTTTTGCAGTCAAAAGAATTTTCAGATACTTGCAGGGAACACGAGATCATGGACTTTGGCTTCAGCAGTCTAATCGGCCAACCTGTATAGTTGCTTACTCCGATGCAGATTGGGCAGGTTGTCCTGATAGTTCTCGGTCTACCACAGGTTTTGCTGTATTTTTGGGCCCTAATTTGGTTTCCTGGAAGGCTAAGAAGCAGCCCACTGTGTCCAAGTCCTCCACAGAAGCGGAATATCGTGCCATTGCTTACACAGTACAAGACACACTACATATCCGTTCAGTCCTGTTCGAACTTGGATGGCCTATCTCCGAGCCGGTACATTTATTATGTGATAATATATCTGCTTCTTACTTGACTGCAAATCCAGTTCAGCATGCTCGCAGTAAACATATTCAGATTGATTATCATTTTGTTCGCGAACGGGTTGCTCATGGAGATCTGATTGTTCAACATGTTCCTAGTCATCTACAGCTGGCAGATATTTTTACTAAAAGTCTATCTAGTCAACGTTTTCATTTTTTAAAAGACAACATGTGCGTTGTATCTCCCGCACAGTTTGAGGGGGTGTAATAGAATTATTATAGGCTCAGTATTGTACTTTACATTAAACTCTCTCTAATATAAATATATCTGCCAGGGCTTCTCAGTGAGTAACCTTTTCCATTATTTCACAAACTATACTATCACATTGAGATCATATTACTTTAATGGCTGATAAAGTTATGATTTCAGAATGACAACATAATATATCCCTTAAATACTCACGTGACACATCCCTGTTTTCTGTATCTGCCTCCGTAAAACACCATTTAATTTGCAAAATCATCTCCAGCCTAATTAACTTGCTGCAGAACATAAACTCAGCAATGAAGAGAGGAAGCCCGTATGTAATAAAATAGTCTTGGGGGGCAGGAAAAGTCCGAGGTTCAGGAAGTTTTGTTAATTGTTACCCGACTATAAAATATTTACATACTTTTGATGTTATAATAATAATAATATTAGTAATAATACAAATGAAGAAAGATCAAGGAGGATTGTTGTTGATGTAAAGTAAATTTTACATTTTTGAATCATACGAACGGTTTAGCTTAGGATGTTATGTTAATTACATTAACTAAAAATTAATTAAAGTCCTTAATAGTCATTTTACAAGTTATCAATTAATTATAAACAGTCATTTAAGCAAACACCATTTTACAAACTGCTAATACCACCAACTAGTCAAAACAGTCATCAGAATCCGCTATTACCAATCGGCAAACACAATCAGCTAACTGCTAACAGCCAATCGCCAAATGCCAAACACCCCCATAATGTATAAGGAGAAAACACAATACTTACTTCCTCTGTCTCCCTAATATTGGAACAGAATGAATTAGAGCCACACAAATGTTACCAAATATGGTATGAGACAATAATAGAGGTACATCCAAAAAAATGAAAAAAAGGACAATAATAAAGGGAAGGAGGGAGTAATACATAGGAGGGGTCATTTTTTCTATTATGGGATAAACTTTCAACAGTTTATCTATTAGAGAAACTATTTTAAATACAATTTATATATAGAGTTGTATCCTAATTTAAGGCTGGTAATTTTCTTATAATATTACTAAAACACATCATATCATATATGAATATTATTTGATTAAAGCTACTATGAATATAATGTAAGAATTGATTATAATATGAAATTGAACAATCATAACTATTAAAAGTCAGTAAGTCGCTACCTTAAATAATAAGATTGCCGGTCAATTTACAATGTTCCACTAGTCATATAGTTAGCCGATCCGTATAAATAATAAGATTTTTTTGGTAAATAAAATCAACTACATTAAAAGTTTCATAAATCCTAAAAATCTCAAATTTGATATAAGTTTGATATATAAAGTAAAAGATTAAAAACAATTTAAGTTGATCAGAGAATAGTAGACACGAATCTTTACCTAGGATGAAGTTAAATACTACATACAAAAAGTTACGTTTGTATCTATTTTCTTTATTTGAGTTACTGATGGAGTATATGGTCCGGGACACCCCGACCCACAGACTTCTGCTTCTTCTACACAGGCCCATGAAGCTCGATGAGCACACCAAGCCCAAACATAGCGGCCCAAGCATGAAGAAGCCCACACTGCACATGATGCCTTTGGCCCCATGATGCCTTCGGCCACACAATGCTTTCGGCCACATGGAGGCCCCGACACATAGAGCCTTCAACACGTGGAGATCCCCGACACAAAGAGCCTTCAGCCACATGGAGGCCCCGGGCACATAGAGCCTTCAGCCACACGGAGGCCCTCGACACATGGAGCCTCCGGCCACATGGAGACCCCCGACACAAAGAGCCTCCGACCACATGGAGGCCCCCGGCACATAGAGCCTTCGGCCACATGCATGGAGGTCCCGGCACATAGAGCCTTCGGCCACATGGAGGCCCCCAACATATGGAGCCTTCGGTCGGAAGGGACAGCCGACGACATGCTCCTCGACAGAATCTCCTCTCCACATGCGCTGAATCGCCGTACCAAGTACAAACGTCGCATCCAACCACAGCATTTAATGCTGCCACATGCAAATGCCGGTGCCACCCCGATTGAGGTGACCCTTGGCCGTCAGATGTTCGACATGTGTCCCTGCCTAGCATTTATTACTGCTATAAATAGCAGCCTATTTTTCCATTGTAAGACACAACAATTCATATATTGAATACTTACTCTCTCTCTCTTACTTATTCCTCTGACTTCTCTCTAGTTATTCCCCGAAATAACCCCTCGGATAAGCTACCACCCGGGTACGCAATCCATCATTTGGTGCTTTCATTGAGAGCTTGAACAATCAAGTAAGAAACCCTCCCCCTCACCCAACGCAAAACACCTATCGAAATGAGAAGAGCGACTCGTGCCCAATCCAAGGCCGAAGCCTCCAACAAAGCCCTCGGGAATCAGGATTAACACTGCCGAGGCCTCCAACAAAGCTCCTGAAGGCGGAGCCCTCACCGAAATAGTGCAGGCCACTGCAGAGACCTACCCCTTCAGCTCCAAGAGAACGTTCTCGATGCCTGCCTCGACATCGAGGCCCAAAGGAAAGATCGGGGGTGAGATTCAGGTGAGGCCCCCCGGTCCTCACCGCCGATATGCAATCAGTCCTATTTTCCTTCATCCACACGCTCACCCAGAATCCTAGAGCTTTCGGAACTCTTGTACCGCCCCCAGCTCATGTCGAATGGAACATCGTCCCTTTCTCTCCGCCCCTTCCTCATCCATTGGTCATGAATGCACGCAACGATGAGGGGGTCAGGCTTCCCCTCCCCGAGCTGGACCGGCCCTAGTGCGTAGACCTTCGGCCTTCAATTTTTTTTGGGGATGAAAGGTAATTTTATTAACACCCAAAAATAACATCGTACAATGTGTCCACGAAATCATAACAAACTATCTAAGCTAGAAGAACTAACCTATATATAAACAACCCAAACACTCTAGGTATGAAGATATCAGGACAAGCCCCTAGATAAAGACCAAATCATAGTTTTCATAATGGATGCATGATTAAATACTAATCTATTCTAACGAAGCTTTTCTTCCCATCCTTATCCACACGGACTCTCAAAGTGTACTTGACAGGTGGTTTGGGAGGTAGCACCACCGTGGGCATGGTAGTTCCCAGTGAGATGGGGGGTGCAGATTCCGGAGCAGTTTCTGCCGTAGGCCTTGTTCCCACCTCCTCCATGATCCCCATCACAAGCTCCACGGTTTCAGTCTCCTTATGTGCCACTTCTGATACAAATTCCGCCACCGGTTCCTGGGCTAATGCAGCTCCCTCAGCCCAGACTACCGTATCCATAAGCTCAACTAACTCACCCAACTCATCAGTTTCCTTCTCCTTGGTCTCGTTGCAAATCTGCTCAGAGGTAGGACTTTCATCCACATAAAGATCACTTGTTGTGTTCACCTCCTTCTCATGTAGATTTTTTTCCAATTCCTCCTTTTCATGTAATTTTTTGCAAATAAATGGGTTGTGCCCATATTTTTTGCAATGAAAACAAAAATTTGGAAAAGTTTCATAAACCACCGATTGGTTAATTACCTTATGTGAGGGTAGTCGAATAGGAAATGAAAGAATGGGCGGTTTCGACGCATCCACTTCAATAAGCACTCTAGTAAACCTATGATTGCTCCTTTCTTGGGTGATCAAGTCTGTAGTCATTGGCATCCCAACCATAGAGGCTACTTCACTCATGGCTTCTTTATTCCATAGTTTCATTGGTAGGTGTGGGAATTTAACCCAAATCGGCACTTTGAGGAACTCTTCATCCTCAAAAGTAAAGTCTTCAGATAAAACCTTCAACATGAGAAGCTTGTCATAGATGACATAGGGTCCCTCATTCAGTATTTTCATTCTGTCCGCATCGGTATGGAATTTAAAAATCACCCAGCCCTTATCGTGGGACTTGATTTGGCACTTCACACCCCACCTAAACTTCAGCTCATGGACAACTTTTAGCCCAGGAAAACGACCTGTGAAGAAACCAACTAGGCAATATCCCCACATATCAACCATGGATGGCATAACTCTATCAGAGAAGTCCAGGGTATTACCTTTAGGAGGCACAAAATTCAGTTTGATTCCATTAGAAGGGGCTCGGTTGTCCTTAAAGAGAGTAGTCCATGGTTTTTCAACCAAATTCTTCTGTTTTGTGATTGTTCCAGCGTAAGTCTGTACTGGTTGGGCATGTTGAGCAGTCTTACTGCCTTCTCCGCCACTATCAGTATCCAGAGTCTCCAGCAGTGGCTTGGCAGTGGCCATTTCACCCTCTTTTGTCTCATGCTGCACACTGCCGGTGTGCCCAACCTTCCCTGCAGTCACTGTTTTGGCATTTGGTTCAGGAGTTCCCTGCGCCAGGGCAGTCATTTTCACAACATCAGCATCCTCCCCAGTTTCCCTCAACGGTGCGTTTGGTATCTCAGTTGACCCCAGCGAAGAATTAGTAGTCTTCATCTCCCCAACTTTATTGCCAGTGTACCCAGTATCCACAATGGTTGGAGCAGTAGTTCCCATCACTGGTTGGTCACTCATTTGAGGTGCCTGGGTGACTTCAAGACCAGTTTTCTTCACCTCATGACCACACTGGAAATTAGCCTTTGCTGGACACAGGTCTGCAACAATATTTTTCCCAGCACTGAGATTAGGCATGCAATTACTACTGTCAGTTTCCCCAGTTTTTCCTGCAGCAGCTTTCACTGGATTTGCTGGATACAGGTCTGCAGCAATTCTTTCAGGGTTCCCCTGCGGCTGGGCAGTAATCATCATACCATCAGCCTTGTTTTGTAGCACTTGTAGATTAGCAGACTTAGTAGCAGTAGCTTCCCCAACATTTAGCTTTCCACCTGCAGCAGTTGTTAGCTTTTTCCCAGCAGAAGGATACCCAGGCGCAGCTTCCAGCGCAGTTTGATCCCCTGCTGCGTTCCCAGCAAAGACCTTAACACATTCCTCAGGATTTCGTTCAGGTGCAAGGGCTGGAAATTCGTTCTCCAGCAACGTGAATATCGACCTGGTCACCCTCGCCTCTGAAGCCTCTCCATAGCTCTGTTTCTTCCTCGCCATCAGCGTACGAAGATTGACAGCGCACAGGTAAGGCGTACGAAGCAGGTCAGTTGTTATGTGTTCCAATCAGCGAGAAAATTGGTTGGTTAGGTTCGCCCTGAGATGGGGTATCCCAAACCAGTTCCGATTTTAAGAGATTCGCACAAAAAACCAGGTAATCGTCCCTAATTCGAAATCATGAACAGTAAAATCGCGATTTCCAACCTGCGTTTCTGGACGTAGATCAACCGCCCAATCTCAAATCCAAGGACAGAAGGAGGTTGGGAACAAGATTCCGACTTCGAACAGCAAAAAAAACGCAGCTTCCAAACATCAAGAACTCAAGATCGAACGCCTGAAACCATGAGCGAACGGAAAAAGGGGCTAGGTCGCAAGACCTAGGAGAGAGACGATCTCCATCTGTTTTCTTTTCCTTCTCAGGCGCTACCTTCGGCCTTCAATAGTTTAGGGGATGTGCACCGTCGGCCAGCATCAGAGAGGCTGGCGGGAAGGATGGGTCAACGTGAGCCTGTCTCACCTAGGGAGAGCTTTGGGTCCGTATCTCGGACAGCGGATCGGCCCCGTCTTGACAAAGGCAAAGGCAAACTACACAAGGAGGACGCACGCCACCACATCAATGCGGCTCGTAACCAGGCCCCTGGCACCGCCACGACCGTCGAGGACCCTCGGAACGAAATCATTGCCCAACTTGAAAGAAGGCTTGCTCAGATGGAAGCAAGACAACTAGCCGCCACCCCTACGGCCAATCATCGGGGAATCCCGGCTTTGACGCCCTCATGAACAAACTTAGTGCTCTAGAGAGGGAATTCGCTGAGGGGCGCGGTGACCCCATCATCCAGGTTAGGACCAAGACCCCCTTCACCACCAGGGTGCTCTCGGCCCCAATACCCGAGAAATACCGGAGAAGCACTATAAAGCCGTATGACGGCCGCACCGACCCCCAGGAACATTTCAGCCGATATCAAAACAACATGCTGACGAATATTTATGTTGTTGGTTCCTCTCCACTCTCGAGGGACCGGCGTACGAATGGTTCAACGCGTTGCCCGAGGGGAGCATAGACTCATGGCAAGATCTTGCCCAACGCTTCCTCACCCATTTTGCCAGAAGGAAGCGCGCGAAAAAGCACTTCTCCCACCTCCTCTCCGTCAAGCAACAGCCTGACGAAACACTTCGGTCCTTCATTGACCGGTGGATGAAGGAGACAGACGAGGTCGAGGGCGCCGACGAGCGTACCCTCCTCGTCCTCTTCCAGGGGGTTCTCCGCAGCAGCCTCTACGCACGGAGCCTCATCACCGACCCCCCAAGATCATACCTCAAAGCACTCCAGCGGGGGAGCCTATACGCTGACGCCGATGACCTCCACCCCTTCAAGAAGGACGGAGGCCAGCCCTCGAAGAAGACTAACAACACGCCGGCCCCGAATGCGCCCTCGGACGGGGGCCGAGACCATGGAAGCCACACCTAGCACGGCCGGAACAACCACCAATGGCGCCCTCGGCTGGACATGCCAAAGACTCCCCTCACGCACCTGGTGAGCACTATCCTTAACTATGCGACAGAGCAGGACCTTTTCCCCAAGGACCCTCGATCGGCGAGAGAGATCTGCGTCATCCACCAAGGCAGCACTTATTACCATTACCACAAAAGCACCTCCCACAATACAGATGATTGTGTCTCGTTAAAGAAGGCTATTGAACTCTTAATTCAACGGGGTGAGCTCCACCAATTCATCAAAAATGCCCCAAGGAAAAACGTCGGGGAGAACACCGATAAAAAGAAGGGGACACCTCAACGAAGAAGCGTGAAATTGGGAGGTTCAGCGACGACGAGGAGTTCGAGGAGCCCAGAAGTGCCACCTCCACTAATCATGTTCCTCGCCTTCGGCCTCAGTCTCAGCCTTGAGCCCTCGACCTCGAGGCACATTATCATCCCTTCGGCCTAGAGCCCTCGACCTCGAGGCACATTATCATCCCCTCGGCCTAGAGCCCTCGGCCTCGAACAGCTTATCTGAACAAAGCTGTTGTCAAACAACGCACCCCTTGTATTCCGCTTATTTCTTATGAACTTAAGTAAAGGATGCGCACAATCCGGACATCTGATCGGCCCCTACGAGGACAAATGCTCAAGTATGGTCGGTGGTGTCCAAGGAAGAGGGGCCTGCAAAAGGCCCGCTTTTTTGGAGCGGGACGCTCACCTCGTCGCCGGCGTGCAATGCACGGCCACAAGTCTGAAAGAATAGCTGAGGTGACGAAATCCCCAAACTGTGGGGTGAAACGGCAGTCGTCGGAAACCGACCAAGCCTAGCCCGCGCCATAAATAGACGACGGGACCCCCAAGGTCAAGGGACGGTTCAGCACCGGGGGACTAACAGACGAACCCCCGGACGGATCACTTGGACCCCCTTCCGGCCGAGGCGGGGAAGCAACCCCCTCGGCCGAAGCCTGAAAGAAGGAACACACATTAGGAGGACTAACATATGACCTCCTGACACAATCAAGGGACGGACCAGCGCCGGGGCACTAATAGACGAACCCCCGGACGGATCACTTGGACCCCCTTTCGTCCGAGGCGAGGAAGCAACCCCTTTGGTCGAAGCCTGAAAGAAGGAACATACACCCGGAGGACTAACATGCGGCCTCCCGAAACTATCAAGGAACGGCCCTCGGCCTCAACATTAGTCTACATCACAAAACGGCCCTCGGCCTCAACCTGATTCTACATCAGAACGGCCCTCGGACTCAACGTGATTCTACGTCACCAATGGTCCTCGGCCTCAGCGTGATTCCACATCACAATGGACCTCGGCCTCAACGTCACGAACAGCCCTCGACCTCAACGTGATTCTACATCACCAACGGCCCTTGGCCTCAGCGTGACTCCACATCACAATCGCCCTCGGCCTCAACATCACAACGACCCTCAGCCTCAGCATGACTCTACGTCACAACGGTTTTGGCCTTAGCGTGATTTCACATCAAGAACGGCCCTCGACCTCAGCGTGACTCTACATCACGAACGGCCCTCGGCCTTAGCGTAATTTCACATCACGAACGGCCCTCGCTCTTACATCTCTCCGACATCAAATATTTGATGTCAGGGGCCATCATACAGGCCCCTCGGCCTTCATCCCTTCGACATCTTTATTTGATGTCGGGGCTATCATACAGGCCCTCAGCCTTCATCACTCCTACATCTTTATTTGATGTCAGGGGCCATCATATAGGCCCCTCGGCCATCATCCCCCCGACATCTTTATTTGATGTCGGGGGCCATCACACATGCTCCTCGGCCATCGCCCCTCCCGCATCTTTATTTAATGCCAGGGGCTATCATACAGGCCCTCGGCCTTCATCCCTCCGACATCTTTATTTGATGTCAGGGGCTATCATACATGCCCATCGGCCTTCATCCCTCCGGGATCTTTATTTGATGCCAGGGGCTATCATACAGGCCCCTCGGCCTCCATCCCTCCGACATCTTTCTTTGATGCCACGGGCTATCACACAGGTCCCTCGGCCTTCATCCCTCCGGCATCTTTATTTGATGTCGGGGGCCATCATACAGGCCCCTCGGCCTTCATCCCTCCGGCATCTTTATTTGATGCCGGGGCTATCATACATGCCCTCGACCTTCATCCCTCCGACATCTTTATTTGATGCTAGGGGCCATCATATAGGACCCTCGCCTCCATCCCTCCAGCATCTTTATTTGATGTCGGGGGCCATCACACAGGCCCCTCGGACTTCGCCCATCTGGCATCTTTATTTGATGCCAGGGGCTATCATACAGGCCCTCGGCCTTCATCCCTCCGACATCTTTCTTGATGCCAGGGGCTATCATACAGGCCCATCGGCCTTCATCCTTATAGCATCTTTTTTTTATGTGGGGAGCCATCACACAGGCCCCTCGGCATTCATCCCTCCGACATCTTTATTTTATGCCAGGGGCTATCATACATGACCCTTGACCTCCATCCCTCCGACATCTGTATTTGATGCCAGGGGCTCTCACACAGGCCCACTTGGCCTTGCACCCCTCTGTCACCTTTATTTGATAACGGGGGTCCTTGCAGGCTCCTCAGCCTTTTCATGCAGGATCTAAGGCTGGTCTTGGATATCCCCTCAGCGGACGGACACAACCACCGCTCAACAATCTAGGCCGAAGGGTGCATTCCTTTTGCTTCATTCTGGGGACATCCGGTGTACTCTTTTTCCCTCATTAGGATTTTTTCCCACAGGGTTTTTTCCGAATGAGGTTTTTAACGAGCCATCTCCCCATTGTGGAACAAAAGGCGTCACCCCTCGGCGGCTCCTACTGAAGGCATGCATCACTCTACTCCTGTTTCCCTCGATTAGCTCTCAGCAAAAGGAGTGGGGGACTAGGGGACTCCCTTCGGCAAAACACACAAATGTTAAAAATTTTCTATTTCTCAGTTACAGCAAGCTGAGGCAAGATCACAATGACAATCTACTCCCTTCAGCAAAATAATCAAACTTGAAAATTCTTATTCTTCAGTTGCAGAAAGGGAGCCATCGGCAACTTCAAGACACTACTCCTATTTCCCTCGAGAAACTCTCGGCAAAAGGAGTGGGGGACTCTTGATGGAGTATATGGTCCGGGACACCCCGACCCCACGGACTCCTGCTTCTTCTACACACGCCCATGAAGTCTGATGAGCGCACAAAGCCCAAACGTAGTGGCCCAAGCATGCAGAAGCCCACGCTGCACATGATGCCTTCGGCCCCATGATGCCTTCGGCCACATGGTGGCCCCCGGCACATAGAGCCTTCGGCCACATGGAGGCCCCCGACACATGGAGCCTACGGCCACATGGAGACCCCCGACACAAAGAGCATTCGGCCACATGGAGCCCCCCGACACATAGAGCCTTCGGCCACATGGAGGCCCCGACACATAGAGCCTTCGGCCACATGGAGGCGCCCAACACATGGAGCCTTCGGCCGGAAGGGACAGCCGATGACATCCTCCTCGACAGAATCTCCTCTCCACGTGCGCTGAATCGTCGTACCAAGTACAAACGTCGCATCCAATCACCGCATTTAATGCGGCCACATGCGAATGTCGGTGCCATCCCGATTGAGGTGACTCTCGGCCATTAGATGTTCGACACGTGTCCCTGCCTAGCATTTATTACTACTATAAATAGCAGCCTATTTTTCCATTGTAAGACACAACAAATCATATATTGAATACTTACTCTCTCTCTTATTTATTGCTCTGACTTCTCTCTAGTTATTCCCCGAAATAATCCCTGGGATAAGCTACCCCCGGATACGCAATCCATCAGTTACATATCTGTTATTCTTTCCTCCCCAAATCTCAAATGAATGACTTTTCAATTACTTATTGGATCTAATAAAGAAAATAATAAATTTGATGCTCGTGAAGGAAAAACTTAACTATTGTAACTATTTTCCTACTTAAAATTTTACAATTCGTATTAAATACTGCATGAAATTGTAAGGGGTGCCCTAAGATAGTATTTCTTTATCCCCCTAAGATTGTCTTATTTTACTTTTTAACCCGTCCCACTAAGAT